TGATTTCAGACCATTTCTTGAAATTGTCAAGATCATATCTGTGTGTTTAATAAGAATAATATTTTGATGTAGAAAAGTGAAAACACCAAACAGTACATGACCCAGGACAGACTCCCTGATGTGAACACTCTCCCCTTTAAGGGAAGTACCCCTCAACACTTTTCATTATTCTGGAATTTTTCCCACCCCCACAGGTTCTCAGTTCCCTAAATACTGCAGGATAAATTCCATAAGGCCCAGTCAACCCGAAGACATTAAAGTCATCTTTAACCTGTTTCTCTACTTTAACTGGAGTTCAAAGTAGAGGAAAGACAGTTTTCCCAAACCAACAGTCAAGACCGTAACACAATCAACATTTTCAGGGTAAGAGAGTTCCCTTCGTGAGCTTTTTTTAAGATTTGCATCAGAGGTCTTTTCAGATCACCTCACGTGAATTCTGATTAACTCCTTGATGATGGATGACGCGTTGGAACACAATGGTAAAACACTCCTTTCTGCTGAAAAGCTAGAGACCTGTTATAATCTTGACCATACAAATTCACCAGCAAGTTTGTGAATACCAATAATTTATATGCCCAGAATAATACCACGTACCTCCATGGCAGACCCAATCCTTTATTTACAAGTTAATTGTTCATCACAAACTTAAGATGTCAAAATTCCAAGAGAGTGATGATCATTGCCACACGTTCTGTATGTTGCAACTTATGAGGATCACACAGATATCCAAGCAAGTAGTCACTGCCACACCAAACCTCTGCCCTGCTGCCAGTCACTCCTGGCCATACCACTAACCACCCTGACACTTAGTATCTACCTTGACCTAGAACAGAACCTGCAAATAAAATTACTGTAAGGGAAATGAATTTAAAATTCTTTATTTCTTCCTGTCTTGGAAAAAGGGTATTCCTAAAACCAAGGACGCAACCAAACATGCATTTGGACCACGTTATATGCATGTGCACCTTTGCTTATTAAAAGCCACCAACATCACATCACAGAGCTATGATGCTCCTTCCAGGGTAGAGGATTCTAAATTCTAAATTCTAAATTCTAAAAAAACACTGAACTGTAAGTAATCATAAGATTCTAGGAGAGAAAAAAAAAAAAAGAAAAAATACATTGGCATTTTTGATAGAATGACTATAAATCCTAGAACTTCAGTATCTCCTGGTGAACCCTCTAGTGTACAATAATCCCTGAGGCACAAGGTCATACACTGCAAAATATTCCTCTCCGAGTATCATTTATTGCAGAAAATCTCAGTTATGACTGGATGCACCAGTTCAAAGGATTTTTGTTAAGCCAGACCTTGGAAGTGCAACTATTTCAGATTAGTTGTTTTATGGAACTGCATACATCAATGCTTTGCAAAGTCTTTTCCTGTTTAATTACAGAAAGGTCTAAGAAGCATAAAGTGTTAAAATTCTTTTTCTGACACTTCTGAGGCCAGCTAGAGAATGCAGCAACTGAAATAGTTAAGTACACTTTAATCAAGAAATTCCAGTTTGGAGCGATACAGCCTGATCGCTAATATGTATGATTAATTTACCCAATATTACTCCCCTTCCCACTTAATGTCATACTAATGGCCTCATCTAACCTACAATTTTTAGGTCTGCACAGTGTTTGCACATACATGTATGGGGCAGTGGATACTTAGCCACTATCAATCTCTACCTAAATCCACTCCCCAAAATGTAAATTTATCTTCTGACCATACAGTAACTCATTAAAGTTTGGCACATTTTCATAGGAACATATTAACTTACAGAACACAAGTTAAACAACATCCTGGCATTCATGAAGTATTCTAAGCAGGACCACGTTTCTGCCAACTTCACTGCTTTTCATCAAATCTGACAAGTAAAGAGAACATGCACTTCAATTACTCTTACTGAAACAAAAGCCACACACAATTTTATCCTGGTCACTGTGAAAGTGACAGTAAAATGTCTAGTGCGTTAGCAGAACAAAATCAAAACCACTCCTGCCTCTACAAATAAATTAACATAAAACCTAAAAATCCCAAACTTCCTAGTATACACACTACCTCACCAACTGCAAGATTTGGACACTATGACCTTTCCCTGTATAAAGTTTTAGCAACAGTCATCCCATGGTTGTGTTTTTACAAAGCCATAAGCAAAAGCTGTATCCATGCAAGAGCAGGCAGCACTTCAAGAGGTGCTTTATGTTTTAGCTCTACTGAACACAGTCAGCCCTTTTCCAATCTGTTCATACAGACTAACAAATAAAGCACGCCCTGAAGTACACTTCAGAGCTAAGTCAATTCAGCAGCTACACAGCTAACTTCAAACGCCTTGTAATGCCGAAATTAAATAATAATCTAAAAAACACCCAAAACTTTAACTCTTAAGCCAATAGCTTTTGTTCACTTATTAAAGACAAGAACTACATCATCTGACATGCCATACTACTGAAGAAATTCATAGATCCAACCACAATATTTTTCTGTATTAAAAGTATCCCACAGCTCTTGAAATATTTTTTACATTTTAGTGAAGATTCTTTTTCCTGTAATGATTAATTTCCTAATTTAAAACAGGAATTTCAAGATTCAGTAACACCAGGTACAAAGCAGTCACCTCTGTGAGACAAGGTGACTAAATCCTGCAAAACATTCTCAAAGTAAAGTATTTTTCCCAACAATTCAGAGAGCAGGCACTTCCCCTTGATTTGTTATATATCACATCTGCATTCTGCTCCTCTCATTTCTGAGACATCTGCAGAAAAAACAGGATTTGGTTTTTTAAAATACCATCTGTTCCCTGCATATTTTCGCTTTAAGTCCTAGTATGATATCTGCAGTGGAAACTTCTGTGTCATATAGGATTAAGAATACAAACCAGATGAATATAAAATGCAGAGGCTGCACTTCCCTACAAAAAAAAAAAAAAAAAAAGGAAGAAAAAACAGGAAAAAAAGGGGGAAGCATCACCTGAAGCTTTTCTATTCTAAATACAAGACCTCAAGAAGTTCTTCTTAAGGTACTTTTCTCTAGAAACCATCAGAAAGAATACAAGAGGAAAAGCTGCTCTTCTTAAACCTGGTAATTTTACTTCGTCCTGCCCCTGCCCTACACCTGTTTCCCTCTGCGTGAGAGACTGGAAGTTTGAAATACCGGTCTCCAAAGGGATGAGCACGGGGAACCTTTCACTGAAATACCTGCCATATTCATTCATGAAGTAACATTTGCATAAGCTTTTTTCATAACCACCTAACATTTTTATAGAAGCAGCGTCAACTCTACAGTAAACTCAGCTTTGACGGCTCTTCAAGTATCTCAGCTGTTTCCTCATCTCCATACTTTTCCTGCTCCCATACTTCGCTCAGTCACTTGCAGTTTCAAAGTATTATCAACATTACTAACGCTTGTGTCACTCAGACCTTGGGGGCGGGGAAAGGGAGGCTGTCTTACCTGGTCACGTTAATATAAAAAGATTTTTAAGCAACGCTCTTCAACAATTCTACCATTACTTACACGGATTTAAATAGCGATTGCTCCTCTGAAGCTGTTTTAAAAACCTCACAACTTGTACGGACACCCGCTAACTGCTCTAAAATCCTTCCAAACCGGCTCATTGCTAAACCAAATTCAACTCTCAGCCTCAATAAATGCGTCTTCGAAATGCGAGGTGTGAACACAGCTGTTCTGCTCAAGTCCAGCTACAGCCCTTTAAGTTAAACCACGCCAGACCGTAGGCCAAAACCAGGCATAAAGCACACCGGACTTTGGGGGCTTCCTCTAAGGCGCAAAACATATCTGAAGAGTTACCATTAAAAAAAAAAAAAAAAAAAAAAGCCACCTGACGGTGTTTTCCAGTGAGCAGATAACGAGGGGCACCTGAGGAGTTTCCCAGCCCCCGTTTGCCCCGCTCCCCCCCGCCCCGCCGAGGCCGGGGCTGCCCGCGGCACACGTGTCACTGCTCGGCGCCGGCCCGGCCGACCCCTCCCGCCGGGGGCTGCCGGAAAAGAGCGGCCCTAAATCCTCCAGAAGCCAAGGGAAACGGCCCCGGCCCTCGCCCGGTTTCGTTTCCAGCTCTCAAGCACACAACAGACGGCGGCGGAGTCGCCGTCGCTCCCCACCGCCTCCCCGCCCCCCCCCGCC